GTTTCTACGTTTCATTAACAGTGATTGCAAATGAAGCTGCTGTAGCTTTTGTCATGGGAAGTATTTTTGTGAAGGAAGATGATTCACAAAACAATTACGCAAAACCACTGTAGTTTTCTTGGAATGATGTTTATTTAAAGTTACATTTCAGAGTAAACCATCTTCAGGAGGGCAGGAAGCCTATATTGGCTACTGAAATACAACCAGAAATTTTAGAAAATTTTTCTGACATAAATTACTAAGGCACTACAGATAGGCACCTATATTACATACAATCTTTAAATATTTCTAAAAGTTGAAACTATGTTATTAGTTGATTTCTAAAATATTAAAGCCCCTGACAAAGTAACGGAACGGTTAAGAACAAAATGAGATACCTGTCTCAATGATCTGTTGCCAGCATAGTCACTGAAACACATTTTGAGATTCTGAATGACACGATCCAGCGCTAGTCCAGGGCCTTGTGATGAGAGCTGCATGAGGCTTCAAAGCACCCTTTCCGCAGAAAAGGGCGTTTTTCAAGATGGCAACTGCTGTGTCATCATTTTCCCCTTTTGGAAATCCTTCAGAAAACCCTACCCTTCAATGCACGGCTGGTTTTCCCAAGTGCAGTTTTCTCTTTTTCCACGAGATGGCAGTAACGCACCATCTTTCTTCACACAGGGTCAGCTGGGAAGGAGGGTAAGTGCGAAGAAGGCCCACTGCACAGCGGGCCAAGTTCGTGGGGTACAAAAATGGGAAATGAGAATACGGAAGAACGATTCTAACCAGGTCATAAGGCCAAACTAGTGCTGGTTATGGAAAATAGGAGACAACTAATGAACGAGAGATCTGAGAAGGGTTTCAGTGAAATCCTGCTGAGTGTCAAGGGCATGCAGGGAAGGGAAATGAAATCGACTTCCCTGCGCTCCCTGGGTCCTGGAAGGAGGCAGAAACAAGGAGCTAAACTTGGATTAAAAAGGGCATCTGACAGAACAGAAAGGCTACCCCCACTTAACAAGAAACTGAAGAATGCCTCAGTTCTTCTGAATTAAATATCAAGATGCATCCAATAGCAGCCAGTAACAGCCTAGTAACACAGTTACAGAATCCAATGAACAGATTAGGACAATTTCCCACCTGCCTCAAAAATGCCTGGCTGCCCCTATCAACGACCTGCCCACCTCCCCATCCTGTGGCAGAGGCTAGTTTACAAACACTATTTCTGCAAATTATGGAGACTTCTAACGGCAAAGAATGAAGGCTTTCTCAAATGCTTACAAAAGTGCTTTAAATAACTTAAAATGACACTTCTGCCCCCAACAGAGTAGGTAGATCAATATTTATCTTTTTGTATACATATTAACATTTCTCCCTTATTTTATTCCCACTTAAATACACACGCCAGTGGCTGCAGGCCATTGTGATAGACATAGGTATGGCATCAAAGTAAACAGCAAGGTCCTTTACTCTCTATTCTTACAGGCCTGAAACTAACCAACGGACCTTAGCCAGTCATCGGAAGTAAGAGTATTTTTAAAAGGATGTGTGGTAAAGAGCACTGACACAGCTCTGTGGATGCTAAACTCAAGGCAAATTTACTAGAAGACATTCTTCTCACCAGAGGATATCCTGGGAGACAGAATTAACTCAAAGGAATGAAAACTACAGGAAAATACTTGTCTCCAGACAAAAATGACAAAAAGCCAAAGCATTCGGAGCTCAGAGAACATGTCACAGAGCTTCAGATCAGCTGGCCAGGGAGGCTTAACAAGGAAGCCATTAGGGACACCCTGCTGGGCTTAATTGTTTTTAGAACATATGGGACTTTGTGCCACCACACAGCTGTGAACTCCTTGGCTTTTGTCAGCTTGTGTCACAACCTCAAGAAGAAAATAGTAGCTCACTACTCCCCACTTCCCACTAATTTACTGTATTTCTTCTTATAACCTCCTGTACAACTGTAAAGCAACTGAAAAATATATAAGCTCTGCCTCTCTTTTACTTTTATTTCTATAAAGAATATAGTATGACTGTCACAGAAAAACAGTATAGAAAAAGCACAATATTGGGCATATGATAGAAGCTCAATAAATAATGTATCTGGCCTGCTTTCAAAATGTTATTTCATTATACATTCATCACAGTTGCTGGGTATGGGCCAAAAATCATTTAGTGCACAAAGAAAAATTGTGTACAGCATTTAGCATTATTAAAATTAGAATAACTGCTGTATTCCTTTTGTAGAATAAGGTTAAGTAAAAAATAAGGTTTCATTTCTAGAATGTTAAACTAAAAACAAGTTTAACACAACGAATAATTTGTATAAAGAAGATAATAAATACTTGTTAAATGGATGCTGAAAAAAACTTTTAAAATCTTACACTAAAGATATAGTACATGAACCAATACACATTAAAAACATTCTATCACTATCTGAAAAAACATTCCTTTTGGTTTTTTGTTTGTTTGCTTGTTGAGACAGGGTCTCAGCTGCAGCCTTGATGTTCTGGGCTCAGGTGATTCTCCTATTTCCGCCTCCTGATTAGCTGGGATTACAGGCATCCACCACCAGGCCAGGCTAATTTTCTTTTTTTTTTCTTTTTGAGATGGAGTTTCGCTCGTCGCCCAGACTGGAGTGCAGTAGCATGATCTTGGCTCACAGTAATCTCCACCTCCTGGGTTCGAGCGATTCTTGTACCTCAGCCTCTCAAACTGGGACTACAGGTGCCCGCCACCACACCCAGCTAATTTTTGTATTTTTAGTAGAGATAGGGTTTTGCCATGCTGGCCAGGCTGGTCTCAAACTCCTGACCTCAAACGATCTGCCTGCCTGGGCCTCCCAAAGTGCTGGGATTACAGGTGTGAGCCACTGCACCTGGTCTAATTTTTGTACTTTTTGTAGAGTTGGGGTTTCACCATCTTGGCCAGGTTGGTGTCAGATCTCCTGACCTCAGGTGATCTGCCCCCTCAGTCTACCCAACTGCTGCGATTACGGGTATGAGCCACCGCACCCAGCCTACATTCCTTATTAATAAAATCATTGTGTTCCAGTGAGAAAAAGTTCTTCTTAAATTTTTAAAATCAAAGATCACACAACCTTTTGGCTGAGATCTTATCCGAAAAAAGAAGCAAAGATTTACTAACCTCTAAATCTTAATAGTCAAATGTAACTAATAACTAGTAAGGTATACTTTCCTAAAAAATTAACCAAATCAACATCTTTTTTGTGTATTTATAAGCTACAGAGGTTAACTCTTCATTGATGACAGTCAGTACATTGACATCTGGAGCAGTTTTGAGAACCAAATGACCAACCCCAGAACACAGACACATCTGCTGAGTTTTTAATTCTGGCGCCACTCACCATAGCTCTCTTCTCACAGTAAACCATTCCCATGGATTTTTTCACAGTCAGTAAACTGGTGACAGAAGCTCATGACAGATCATAAAGATCCTAACACTGTGAATATTAAGTAATGGTATGTAGAGAAAACTTCCAGGTTTTTTCAAACACTTCTGTACACTGCAAGGCAGTCTGCTCAGGACAGAATGAGAGAATCTTTGTGGGCTTCAGAGACCCAGTTCAGACAATCAGATCTCAGGGTTGCATTTTTAAAAAATTTACTACAAACACAAAGTAAATCTAAATTTTATAGACAAAAATTAAAAATTATTCCATACCAACAGAAATGCCCAATGATGATGAAACAAAAGACATCAGAAGTTCTATATAATTATTCAGTAATAGCTGTTGAGTTGTTTTAAAATTTAATCAGAATTTTACAAATCAGAAATCTTTGTGGTACCTTTTGTTCTATAATTGAGAATTCTAATAATGATGCCAATGACTAACAGTATCGGTGATTCTTTTTTTTTTTTTTTTTTTTTTTGAGACGGAGTTTCACTCTGGTTACCCAGGCTGGAGTGCAATGGCGCGATCTCGGCTCACCGCAACCTCCGTCTCCTGGGTTCAAGCAATTCTCCTGCCTCAGTCTCCCGAGTAGCTGGGACTACAGGCATGCGCCACCATGCCCAGCTAACTTGTGTATTTTTAGTAGAGACGGGGTTTCACCATGTTGACCAGGATGGTCTCGATCTCTTGCCCTCGTGATCCACCCATCTCAGCCTCCCAAAGTGCTGGGATTATAGGCGTGAGCCACTGCGTCTGGCCGGTATTGGTGATTCTTAAACCTGGGGTATCTTCCTTCCTATTTATGCTTATCTCACTGATTTGCTAAAACAAAAATCAGTAAATCCACAGAGATTGAGCGAACACACACTTTCTTTGAAAGGCTGACCAACAAAATAATCCTTAGGCCACACTCTGAAGCTGTGAGTTTCCATGAACTCCAGAGCTGACTTGGGACATGTGAGGGAGAAAGACTGTCTTCTTGCCCATCATTCACGTTTTCTACCGTTCGTCCATTTCCCCGACAACGAGTCCGACATAACACACTCTTCCAGTCCGCACCATCAACTGGAAAAGCCATATGGACTTGTTGTTGGTTTGTTTAGAGACCACGTATTCCAAGTAACAAGCAGGCACATTTCTGGAGAACCCTGGTGCTCCTGAACTCTTGGCTTACCTTTCCTGAGGATCACATCGTAAAAAGAACACCCTACTCCAGAGGGGAAGGGAACAGCTAAGTCATGATTTCTTATTGTAAAACTACTTAGCAAGGAAACAAGCGACAGGTCAGAAACCAAGTGTCACGGAATCACTTTAAGACCAAAGACTCGGCAGGGTGTGGTGGCTCAAGCCAATAATCCCAGCCCTTTGGGAGGCTGAGGTGGGTGGATCATTTGAGGTCAGGAGTTCGAGACCAACCTGACCAATGTGGTGAAACCCCGTCTCTACTAAAAATACAAAAAAAAAAAAAAAAAAAAAAAATTAGCTGGGTGTGGTGGCCTGCGCCTATAGTCCCAGCTACTTGGGAGGCTGAGGCAGGAGAATTGCCTGCACCCGAGAGGTGGAGGTTGCAGTGAGCTAAGATCACGCCACTGCACTCCAGCCTGGGTGACAGAATGAGACTCCGTCTTAAAAAACAGAACAAAACAAACGCAAAAAAGGAACCAGAGACTGACTTTTCAAGGAAGACTCCCATTTTCTAGCAGTTGTTCATCCAGCCTTGTCCTCTGAGACGCTGGCTGTGCGCTGATGATGCGCTCGCAGGTGCTAGAGGCCCAGGGCTTGCAGTGGCTGAGCCTTAGTGAAGCTTGCTGTGCACGGGATAGAGTAGAGTCATGTGTTCTGCCCCTTTGAAAGGCAGCTTTTCATTGGAATAATAGTGTACCACTTCAGGGATGCTGTCAAACACAGCGCTTGTCTGATTCAGTGTGTATTTGTTGTCTTTGGTCTGAGCCACTATGATGTGGACACATCCTTGACTAGTCCTGGAATGAAAATCAAGGAGACATGAATGAGGCAGAGGATCCTTCCCCACTGAAAACAACTGCAGCCAGATTCACGCTAGGCTGGCAGGTTCTCATCCAGTCCCAGGATGGTTCCATACACACAGAAATGCATTCGACACTCTAGTGGAGCTCTCAGAAATTTCAGACTAAATGCATGTAACCCTTGAGTGCTTTATCCTTATTCCCTAAGAGTTATCAGGTACTGGACCAAAGAAAACAATTAAAAAGAATGCCAAGTCCCTTGTAGCCTTCAAATTGAAAAACTAGTGCTTATACCCAAGCATGAGGCCACTAAGGTGAGCTAGAAACTCAGCCCTGGCTGGGCTCTGGGGCTCACACCTGTAATCCCAGCACTGTGGCAGGCCAAAGCAGGTGGATCACTTGAGGTCAGGAGTTCCAGACCAGCCTGGCCAACATGGTGAAACTTTGGCTCTACTAAAAATACAAAAATTAGCCAGGCGTGGTGGCAGGTGCCTGTAATCCCAGCTACTAGGGAGGCTGAGGCAGGAGAATGACTTGAACCCAGGAGGTGAAGGTTGTAGTGTGCCGAGATTGCGCCACTGCACTCTAGCTTGGGCAACAGAGTAAGACTCTGGCTCAAAAAACAAAAAAAAAAAAAAAAAAAAAAAAAGAAAGAAAGAAAAAAGAAAAGAAACTCATTTTTCTCACCACAGTTAAAAGAACATATGTAACGGTACGTCTTCCTTTTTCCCAAAAAGAACACATAAATAATAATAATAATAAAAACCATTTCCTCCCCTTGCATCTGGAAAGACCATTCCTGGTTGTACAGAATGAAAGCTGGCACCAAAGGCTCAAAGATTTAATCCACAAGCACCAATTTCAGGAACATGGTCAAGCTATTCCTGGTATTGTACATCTGGTGGCCTATCCCATTTTCTGAGCCATATTGCTCAACTCCCCCGCCCCCCTCTGTTCTCCTCCAGCCTGATTGTTTCAGCTGCAGGGGCTCAGCTTCCTCAGGAAGGAAATGCTGTTAGGGCTCTTGACAATGATCCTCCAATATAGGGCCACTGAACTCACAGAACAGTGAGAATTTCCATGATACACACTCCACCAGGCCTACTAGGCAAAAGTGAATTTTCTGTGTACGGTCAGACAGGGGGAGTAACAGGCAAGTCAGCATTTCCTTCTTCACCAGAAAAAAACTGGCATTGAAATTGCAGTTGGCATTTTGACAATCAGGGGGATCTTGATTTGTTAAAGTCCCCAATACTAGGGAGTAAAAGAAGAATGACTGCACTACCTTGTTAGAAATAATTCTTTTCATCAGGAATTATTTCTCTACTGAGGGGGCCTACTCCAGATTAGCTAACGTTAGGTAGAAATTGACTAATGTACAAAGATAATGCAATAAGACCTTGGTTATCATCATAGATAATGGAGGCATTTACCCAATACTAATTTTGCATTCTCATTCCAAGGGTCTCATGTTCCGCTGTACAAACAAATGCCTCTTATATTCTGCAATGGACACCCCTGTGAATCACCTTCGCAGTTTGTCTTTTGACTGGAAGACTGTCATACCGTGCTCCCTCCCCTTGGAGATGAGGAAAGCCACGGGGCTTACTTACTTTAGGGCAATGGAGTACCTGCTGTTCCCTGACTCGCTATTTCGAACCAGGTAACCAGCTTCTTTGCAGGGCTGCAGTCGACTCTCAGCCTCGGCACGGCTAATGGCACCATGATACCAGCTGACAAATGGGGACGGGAGAGGGGAAGGCAGCGTGAGTGTCAAAATACAAATCCAGACTGGGCATCATTCCATATAGTGTTGTTTGAAATGCACTTCTAGCAGGGACGCAACAGACTGAACTGGATCCTGCTTCACATTCACAAGAGACGACCTGCAGATCTAGGTATCTGGGAGCACAGAACCCATCAATCATACAAGAGTGAGGTCATGGCGCTAGTGTCATGTGAATGGTTTTCACTGTCCACAGAAGAGTAACACCTACAATGAGCTGCTTGAGATGCGCACTTTCCAACTGCACAATGCGCCAGGCTTTGAAGAGAGGCTTTCATTAAAAGCCCCATCCCAGCAAGTATTTATTAATAAAAAATCGTCATGTTAAATGGGCCAGTGTGTCCCCCCATACTAAGCTGTCATTAAGCTCCCAGCCACCGTCTGTTACAAGGGCCTGTGGCGGAGACTCACGGCTGTTTCTCCAGGGGCAGGCCCGGGTCCACTCTCTCCCCGTCACTGTGGTCTGAGAGGGCTGGCTTCAGGATCTTTTGGGTCCAGCTCTTCTGCCGGTGGTGCTGCCTCACTGTCTCCTCCCTGACGGAAGGTCGCTCAGCTCCTTCAAACTGGACTGGAAGGAAGACTCCATTTAACATCACAGGCCACTGAGGTGATTCATGTAAACTTCAAAGGAAAAAAACCTCCTTGCCTGCCTTGGTTCAGGAAAGCAGCATTTTCCCCCTTCAACATCAACTATGATATACTGCAAAACAGCCTGGTGAGCTGAGCTCCTGCTGTCTTTGATATCTGATCACAGTGCTAGCATCCCTCATACAGACACTTTTTCTGTAAAGTATTCATCAGTATAAAACGGTTTTAGGTTATGAGAGAAAACCACTTTAACACAGTTCAACATGAACTTTTTAACAACTTGTAGTTTTGCTATTTTTAGGATAAGAGATTAAACATAGTTACAGGTGGGCTGGGCGCGGTGGCTCACGCCTGTAATCCCAGCACTTTGGGAGGCCGAGGCGGGTGGATCACGAGGTCAAGAGATCGAGATCATCCTAGTCAACATAGTGAAACCCCGTCTCTACTGAAAATACAAAACATTAGCTGGGCATGGTGGCGCGTGCCTGTAATCCCAGCTACTCAGGAGGCTGAGGCAGGAGAATTGCCTGAACCCAGGAGGGGGAGGTTGCGGTGAGCCGAGATCGCGCCATTGCACTCCAGCCTGGGTAACAAGAGCGAAACTGTCTCGAAAAAAACGAAAAAACAAAAAACATAGTTACAGGTAATGAACCCTTGTAAGGATGTGTATCATCCTGTAAAACCAAACCAACAGTTTTTAATATGAAATAATAAAACAAAAAGAAAAATCAACTCAGAAACAGAAAGAGACTCCATATGATATGCCTGAGATGCCATGAACCCTGAGCTGGACAGGAGATGAAATGGCAGCACCTAGCACAGTACCAAGAAATCAGCAGGTATCCCAGAAAGATATGTTGAAAAGAAGACAAAAGGCCGGGTGCGGTGGCTCATACCTGTAATCCCAGCACTTTGGGAGGCTGAGGCGGTGGATTACCTGAGGTCAGGAGTTCAAGACCAGCCTGGCCAACATGGTGAAACCCTGTCTCTTCCAAAAATACAAAAATTAGCTGGACATGGTGGTGTACTCCTGTAATCCCAGTTACTTGGGAGGCTGAGGCAGGAGAATCGCTAGGACTTAGAAGGTGGAGGTAGCAGTGAGCCGAGATCCCGCCACTGCACTACAGTCTGGGCGACAGAGCAAGACTGTCTCAAAAAAAAAAAAAAAAAAAAAAAAAAAAGAAAAGAAAACATTAAAATGTCAAACAAAACTGACTGGGCTGGGCATGGTGGCTCTTGCTTGTAATCCCAGCACTTTGGGAGACAGAGCTGGGAGGATCACCTGAGCTCAGGGGTTCAAGACCCGCCTGGGCAGCATAGTAAGACCCCATCACTAAAAAATTAAAGGATAATCCAGGAGTGGTGGTGCACGCATGTAGTCACAGCTCCTCGGGAGGCTGAGGTGAGAGGGCTGCTTGAGCTCAGGAGGCTGAGGATGCAGTGAGCCATGATCAGACCATCACACTCCAGTCTGGGTGGCACAGTGAGACCCTGTCTCGAAAAAACAAAGAAAAAAACTGACTCAAATAGTTACTATCAAATACATTAACTTCTCCATTCACCCTTTACATTGGTTATACTTTAATATTATTTTTGAGCCAGAGTCTTGCTGTTACCCAGGCTGGAGTGTAGTGGTGCGATCTTGGCTCACGGCAACCCCTGCCTTCCGGGTTCAAGCAATTCTTTTTGCCTCAGTCTCCTGAGTAGCTGGGACTACAGGCATGCACCACCACATTCTGCTAATTTTTGTATTTTTAGTAGAGACAGGGTTTCAACATGTTGGCCAGGCTGGTTTTAAACTCCTGACCTCAAGTGATCTATCCATCTTGACCTCCCAAAGTGCAGGGACTACAGGGGTGAGCCACTGTACCTGGCCTGGTTATACTTTTATTTACTTATTATTATTATAATTATTTTGAGATGGAGTTTCGCTCATTTCCCAAGCTTTCCAACCATCTCTACCTGTAATCCATTTTATCCAGCATTGCCATTTTATAACTAGGATTTTTTTTTTTTTTTTTAAATTTTTATTTAGAGACAGGGTTTCACCATGTTGGTCAGGCTGGTCTTGAACTTCTGACCTCAAGTGATCCACCTGCCTCAGCCTCCCAAAGTGCTGGGATTACAGGTGTAAGCCACCACGCCCGGCCTATAACGAGGGATTTTAACAGGTTTGATACACTAAGTCAGAGCTAGAAAAAGCTGCTCCCAATTTGATAGCTTCCGTGATGAGAAAATAAAGGTACAGTGATCAGGAGCATTCTTTTCTCTTTTTCTGGAGACAGAGTCTCGCTTTGTTGCCCCAGCTAGAGTGCAGTGTGCTATCTGGGCTCACTGCAACCTCCGCCTCCCAGGTTCAAACAGTTCTCCCACCTCAGCCTCCTAAGTAGCTGGAATTACAGAAGCACACCACCACACTCCGCTAATTTGTTTTTGTTTTTCTTTTTTCCCCTGATACGGAGTTTACCTCTTGTTGCCCAGGCTGAAGTGCAGTGGCGCAATCGGCTCAGTGCAAACTCCGCCTCTCGGGTTCAAGCGATTCTCCTGCCTCAGACTCCTAAGTACCTGGGATTACAGATGTGCCACCATGCCCAGCCAATGTGTGTACGTGTGTGTGTGTGTGTGTATATATATATATACATATATTTATATATATGTATACATATATAAACATATATATATATATATATATATATATATATATATATATATATTTTTTTTTTTTTTCTGGTAGAGACAGGGTTTCATCATGTGGGCCAGGATGGTCTCGATCTCTTGATCTTGTGATCCGCCCACCTCAGCCTCTCAAAGTGCTGGGATAACAGGCGTGAGCCGCCGCACCCGGCCCTGATTTTTCTATTTTTAATAGCGATGGGGTTTCGCCAAGTTGGGCGGGCTGGTCTCCCAACTCCTGGACCCGACTCATCCACCTGTCTTGGTCTGAAGTAACCTGGATTACAGGCGCGAGCCACAGTGTCTAGCCAGGTGTATTCTTTCAATAGTCATTTCAGGCATTTCCAAAACAGTTGCACACCGAGAAGATAAAGGAATATGAAAGTACCCACAAGGAACAAACAAGAAGAGGCCGGTGGCTGCAAGCCACACCGGGGCGGGCCTTAGTTGGCGCTCTCACCTGACAGGGTACGCACTGGCCGGAAGCCGGAAGCCACACTGGGGCGGGCCTGGCTGGCGCCCTCACCTGTTAGAGCCCGTACTGGCCGGAAGCCGGAAGCCACATCGGGGCGGGACAGGCTGGCGCCCTCACCTGACAGAGCCCGCACGATCTGTTCCTTTTTCCACTCCCAGGGCTGCTCGTACTCGGCCGGGGGCCGCTCGTCATTCTCGGGCAACCGGCTGTCTGGGGGCCGCGCCTTCCCCTCTGCCCTGGGGCCCCCTTCTGCAGGCTCGTAGGGAGTGTCGTACAGTTGTGGCGGCTTCCCCAGCAGGTCCTTGGAACTCCGTCTTTTGGCCAAGGTCTCTGACTTCAGGCCGCCCTCCGCAGGTTCACAGGGACTCTCAAGCAGCTGGAGAGCCTTCACCAAGGGATCCTTGGAACCCCGTCGCCTAATTTCTGAAAAATACACGCCGTACACAATGCCTTGAAAGAAAGGTGCTGTAAAACCCTGGTCATTAACCCAGTTACCTCAGCACCTCTGGCTGGCTGGCTGAGGGTGGCAGGTAACGCCAAGATTGTTCCCTGATGGGCTGATTGCTTCCGAGCTGTGCTACCAAAGCGGAACGAAGGTGCCTACAGCTTCTTCCCTCCAGCTGCCTGAATCAGATAATGCGATCCACAGTTAAGGTGGGAGATTACATCTGAAGACAAGCACACCTCCAGGATACCACTTGCAGTTTCTAAGTAGTGGCCTCAGGGTAACCTGCTTCACTTCCGGGTCTGGTGTCTGCTGGAGTATAGCTCACCTTCAGCGTTTTTCCATTTTGTCAGGAAGCCTGGATAAACTAATTGTAATATAATCGGCTGCAAGTCAAAAATGCATTTAATACATCTAACCTACTATCACAGTTTAGCCTAGCCTACCTTAAATGAACACATGAGCCCACAGCTGGACACAATCATCTGACACAACGCCCATTTTGTAATACAGTTTTGAATATCTCTTGTAATCTACTGAATCTCGCAAGTAAAAACCAGAATGGCTGTATGGGACTCAAAGCACAATTTCTACTGAATGCATATCACTTTTGCATCACTGTAAAGGTTGTCAAACCATGGTAAGTCAGGGACTGTCTGGATATTCAAAGCATTGCTGCATATACACTGGGGGCAAGCATTTATGTGCATTAGTCAGAATTCTTGACTCCTATGCAGTTTCAATATACTGAGGGAAGCCAAACACATTCCTAAATAATACGTATCAGGCTAATAATTCCAGGATAAATCAAGATAAAAGAGGCGTTATAGGGAAAACCAGTAATAACTCAACAGCTAACATTTATTGATGGCTTACTATGCATGTGTGCAACACTACTCTAAGTGTCTAGTAACTTTCACAATCACTCTGTGATTATGGGATACCATTATTTCCCCATTATTACAGCAGAGAAAACTGAAGTGCATAGAGTTTAAGGAAATTGTATAAACCAGTAAGTGCCAAAGCCTGGATTCAGAAACAGGAAGTTGGGCCCTAGAAGCCATACTCTTAGCCACTACACCTGGATTGACTCCAAGTGGAAGAGAAATGGAAGATGAGTTGACTTTGATAGAGAAGGTCATTTCCAGTGGAGGAAGCTGCATAAGTAAAGATATGGAGGTGGGAAGCATAGAGGGCTTGTTCCCATAATGGGGAGCTAAGAGATGAGTCTAAAAGGCCAGAAGGCCACACACGAGAGAGGCAGTGGGTAGTGGGAGACACGGCTGGAAGCACAGGCAAGCCAGATGCCCATTTTAAAAGCAAGGACAAAAAGTTTAGATAGTCTGTATGTAATACAAAATGATTATAAGGGCTTTTTTTTTTTTTTTTTTTTTAGCAGGGAATAACAATTATATTTGTGTTTCACTGGAAGATAATTCTAACCATGGTGTACAGGATGGAGTAAATCAGAAAGGTATGGTCTGAAATGGTGCATAAAAATAGATGGAAAAAAACAGATGCAAACCAACCAACCACCAGCTAGCTAACCAGCCAGTCAGCCACAGTGAGAAGGAACTAGCAGTACAGGGTGGTGAGCAGTCTGGGGTCAAGGGGCCTTGTTAGGTAGAGTTACAGATGGCTGGAGTCTGGACAACTAGAGCTGGTGGTATATACAGTCTATATTATAGGCCAACAGAAGCATCATGTTGTGGCTCTTCTGAATGCCCATCAGGAAGCCTTCAAACCATACTCTACTTGATCATAGTGAAGGAACTTTCTATATGCAGACATCTCATCACATAACACCTCATAAGCTCCCGACTGTCTATTTAAGAGGTGCTGAACACTCAGAATGGCACAGGAGGCTTATATGAGCAGGTCACTGTCTCTCTCCCGTTTCTCAACACTACCCTGTCCTGTCTCTCCATAATCCAACTCTGCTCTGACCAAGTGGAACTTCTGTAGTTCCCTGCATACTACCCTGTCTTGAGCCCACCAGTGTCCTGGTGATCTTGGCATCCTTTACAATCTAACTCAGCATCTTCTCCTCTCTGGAGAAGACCTTTCCTGCCTACCACCTTCTCTGATGCCCCACAGAGTTGATCAGGTGCCATGGCTGGACCAACCCACTTTCATCCTGCTCTTCTCCCACTGCATCCATGTATATGTCAATACATCAGTATTTTCAGTGTGGTGGAGTCTGCCAGGGCAGGGACCAGCATATCTTACCATTGTAGGACACATCATTGTGCTAAATAATGATTGGATGGATGGATGGGAGGGGAGGGAGCTCTACAATGTCTCTAGGCAGGTGATCATGTGACTCTGGAGGCATATGTTAAGGGGGTACAGATGGATGATTGTGAATACTGTGAAACTGAAAGCAATCACAAGAGAAAAGGAGGGCAGACTGAAAAGAAAAAAAGATCAAAGGCAGAATCTGGGACTCCTTCAGGGTGGCTGGAGGGAGAGGTGCCAGCAAAGAAGGTTGAGGGGTCAGGTGAGGAGGAAGAGGCTCAGAGGACTGCAGGGCCGCGGACACAAAGGGTGGAAAGACTATCTGTAACTTCTAAACAGGCGTGGGGATGCTCCATGGAGAAACATCACTGACTCATTAAGACTTCTCTAACAAAAAGAGGGCAACGTTGTTAAAATCAGGACACCAAGTTCAAAAGTGCAAAACTTAGGTATAGGCTGAGGTTACAGTTCTGCTGACTAGGGGCTGTCAGCATCTGTCTCAAATTCTGTGCAGGGACGGCTCATTGAAATCACCCGGGGCTTTAACACATACTGCTTTAACCACCAGAGGTTTGGACTAGGTTCGTCTGGGGCGCAGTGTGGAAATTGAGTGTAAAAATCCCCCAGGTGATTCTAAAGAGCAGCTAAACCTGAGAACCACTTCCACACCTCCTGGACGCCCACAGTCTCCATCTTGGTTCCTCTTGCCCTCCAGAGCCTCCCGAGGAGAAAGGTGCCTGTGTCTACAACTTCCATATCAGAATATAAGAGTTGGATGAACTGTCCCTGGCCCCCACCCCCAGGCCAGGCCGGTGTCTGGGGTTGTCTGAGGTCAGAGCTTTGTCTCCTGAGTCCCTGGACTCTCAATCCTACAGCTTTTCTTCTTCATTGCTTACTCCAGACACAGCTATGGAAAACAAGAAACAAAAATATACTCTGTTCTTGGTTCAATTGAGGCAAAGCTGGAATTTTTTTTTTTTTTTTTTTTTGAGACAGAGTCTGCCTCTGTGACCAGGCTGGAGTGCAGTGGCGCAATCTCAGCTCGCTGCAACTTCTGCCTCCTGGATTCGAGCGATTCTCCTGCCTCAGCCTCCAGAGTATCTGGGACTACAGGCGTGTACCACCATGCCCAGCTATTTTTTATATTTTTAGTAGAGACAGGGTTTCACCATGTTGGCCAAGATGGTCTCCATCTCCTGACTTCGCAATTCGCTCGCCTTGAGCTCCCAAAGGGCGGGACTACAGGCCTGAGCCACCATGCCTAGTTTGCCTTTTTTTTTCTTTTTTTTTTTTTCCAGGGCGGAGTCTTGCTTTGTTGCTCAGGCTGGAGTGCAGTGGCACAATCTCGGCTCACTACAACCTCTGTCTACTTGGTTCAAGCGAGTCTCCTGCCTCAGCCTCCCAAGTAGCTGGGACTACAGGCGCCCGCCACCATGCAAGACTGGAATTTTTTAAAGCGAATTTTTCTAAAAGAACTACGAAAAAGGAAGCAGAAAACACAAAGGAGTTCAAAGGATGAATATAGAATAGAATTTTTCGGTTTCTAATCATAGCTTACGTTCAATTAAGACCATCTGGCACAGGCTGGGGAAACCCTTTCCCAAGGTCCTTGCTGCAATTCTGCCCCAGCTGAACAAAAAGGAAAAAGCGGTGATTCCAACCTTAAGATAGAAGGAGCCCTGCTCACAAGGATATTTCAATACATTTGGACTCAAATGATGTACAAGGCGGACGGGCCCTCCAGCCCACCTCCCCTAAAATAAAATAAAATGATGTCTAGTGATTAGAATCTCGAGTTCTTATTATACATATGTTTGAGTTTTTACTTTTGCAGTGAGGTCCTTCTGTTTAGACAGTCCCCTCACACTTAAGAGTTCTGGGAGATACACAAAACATGGAGTTGAGAATGCTTTCTTGCAGGGTCCTGGGATTAGGCAAAGTCTGCAAACTGCTACCAATTTTTTGGAAACAACATTTAATTAGGGGAAGAAAGGTCTTGAGCACAGCCCTCCCCTCCCCACCCCCACCTCTTGAAGGGGAGTAACCTTTCAGTCCATTCCAACACCTGGCTGCCTCCAAACCTGAGGCACCATAGAAACAGAAACAATCGTGGGGCTGCAAGCCGACCCTTCCTGCAGGGAGAATAGCCCCTGACGTGCAGAGCGGGCTCCAAGAGGAAACGAGCCTGAGAAGGAGGAAATGGCAAGAGGAAGCTACACCCTGGCTGCCGATAGAGGCCATTTACCACACCAGACAACAGAATGCAGGGGACGGGCAGCAGCAGATAATCACTCATTTGCAGCCGGGGCTGAAGCCCAGGGCAGACCTGCACCTACTGAACACGTGCAGCTGATTGGTGTGAAACACAGGGGCCGAAAATTTGCCCTTCTCAATCCCCAGCTTGCTGCAGGTAATTATGCCATTCACATGAAAACACAGAAACAAAGTCTTAGCATAAGACTAAGAGTTTCTTTTACTAAATTAATTGTAGTTAGCACTAAGTATTCCCCTATGTGGTCCAGGATTCTCTTTGGAAATAGAATTGTCTCTAGAGTGTCTAAATCATGGCTGTATTGACTAGGTATACACCTGCTATAGGTGTATTACGCACAGAATCTCACTGATGCCTCACTAAGGCACTGACAGATGTGTTACCCCAGTTTCACAGGTGAATAAATGGAAGCCACAGTCATGCAGTAGTTACGGTGGGGCCAATTATGATGAACTCCAGAGTCCATGCTTTATGCTCAAATGATTTCATGTAAAACGTTAATTCCAATTTCCAAATAATGTGCCTTTTCCCCTAATCCATTTTAATCCATTTCACGTTTCTAAAACATTAAACCTAGAGACTCTTAAGACTCAGAAACAGGGCTGTTAGGCAATTTTTTACATCTTTGATCAGTGCTCAAACTTTTAAAAAATTACTTTAATATTGTCTTATTGAATAAATCTAAACATCTGAACAAAAGCAGGTACAATTCAGAAACCCTGAAATTTAGCAAGGAGAGTAAAGGCAAATTACAAGGCCGGACGCGGTGGCTCAAGCCTGTAATCCCAGCACTTTGGGAGGCCGACGCGGGTGGATCACGAGGTCGAGAGATCGAGACCATCCTGGTCAACATGGTGAAACCCCATCTCTACTAAAAATACAAAACATTAGCTGGGCATGGTGGCACGTGCCTGTAATCCCAGCTACTCAGGAGACTGAGGCAGGAGAATTGCTTGAACCCAGGAGGCGGAGGTTGCGGTGAGCCGAGATCGCGCCATTGCACTCCAGCCTGGGTAACAAGAGTGAAACTCCATCTCAAAAAAAAAAAAAAAAAAAAAAAAAAGGCAAATTACATCAAAACCAGTCTTCATTTGCACTTTTTTCCATAATAGTTTTTTTCTGTTTAAATCATAGGCAAAGATGGACATAGTAGTTTTTTGTTTTTGAAGAGATGCTGGCCAGGTTGGTCTTGAACTCCTGGTTTCAACTGATCCTCCCACCTTGGCCTCCCAGAGTTCTAGGATTACAGGCGTGAGTCACTGTGCCTGGCCAGATGGACATAGTAGGTTTTTTAATGGAGACTTGAACAGTGAAGTCCTCTTTTAGATTTGACTATTTAAACAAACCAACAAAATCATTTGGAAGCAAAAATAAATTTTTAAAAATAATCTTTGGAGCTCAAAAGCTAAAACCGCAGCTTGCTGACGTGGTATTTTCAGTTGTGCAATCTGGACAAATTACTTAATCTTTTTGAACCTAGGTTTCTTCAACTGTATAAAGAAGCCCCCTTGAGGCCAGGCGCGGTGGCTCACTTTGCAGCTGGCAAAACCAGCACTTTGGGAGGCCGAGGCAGGCTGATCACTTGAGGCCAGGAGTTGAAGCCCAGTCTGACCAACATGGTGAAACCCTGTCTCTACTAAAAATACAAAAATTAGCCAGGCGTGGTGGTGGGCGTCTGTAATCCCAGCTACTTGGGAGGCTGAGGCAGGAGAATTGCTTGAGCCAGGGAGGCAGAGGTTGCTGTGAGCCAAGACTGTGCTATTGCACTTCAGCCTGGGTGACACAGTGAGACTCTGTCTCAAAAAAAAGAAGAAAGAAAAAGAAAAAAAAAGAAACTTACTTAAAAGAGTTTCTGTAAGGGTAGTGAGGTAATCTGGCCAGGCTGGTACCTAGTAAGCTCTCAACTTACGGCTGTATGGCACATCAACTGCGGAAAGAATTCTCATGCTAACTAACTGATGGGAACTTCTAAAGACCTGTCCGATGCTAACGTTTCAGCGTGGTGGCTCAAATTCCTAATGCTAGATTATGTAGAATATTTCTGTCAATATTAGTTAAAATGTTCCTGTGAATTTAGCAGAAAAGGAACAGAAGTTTATACTAATATTGCCTTGTATTCATAGTCGTATCTTTTTATGAACAATCCTTTGGATAAATCTCAGTGATAATTTACTCATAAATTCACAAATTCTTAACTTTTAAAAAGTTAAGAGCAAAGTTTGGGGGTGGGGGGCTAGGGAGCCTGGGTCCCATAGCAATTAGGCCACAGGAAAGCCATGGGCTTCTCTTGCCTTTCTCTGCCCCCGAGGTAGACACTGGCTCCTATTCTCTACTTCATAGCACTTATCGTGCTTTTTTCAATGACTGATTTCTTTGCTGGTGTTAGGTCTGTTTCCCGCTTAGGTTGTGAGGTCCAAGGGCTGATCATGTGGGTCTTGTTTCCCGTATGTCCAGAGCCCAGGACAGGGCCTAGTATATAATAAATAAATCCCCAAGAAATATTTGTTGAGTATTCTAACACAACATATGGGCAGTTCTATACGCCCCAGGTGTTAAAACCAGGCCTGTAATTCCCATTTCACCAGTAGAAAAAAGGCAATACAGAGAATAGCAACACAGATTTAACCACTCCACAGTTCAACTGCGTTCACTAGGATCCTTGCCATCTTCAGAAAAGCTGAAACAAATACAAATTTTTTTAAAACTCTATCATTTCTCAAGAAAGATGGCAAATTTCTGAACTTGGACTTGACGATCAGGTACAAAAGGAGCAAACTGAATAAAAAATGGTTTAAAAAACAAAAGCCCAGTGGCAAATTTTTTATTCCTAGCTTCCAATAAACTCACTTCCTGTTATTCTGTCCAGCTTGTAACCTGTGGGTAGAATAAGAGATAGAGTCTCCACATTGATTGAGAAGGTGCTTTGTGATATATATTCTAAATGAAAAAACTTAAAAAACCACGAATGCAATTTTTTTTAAAGAGCAAAGAATATTTAGATCACTAGTTTAGAGAATTAATAATTTGGATTTTTAATAAATTTGAATTTATTCACCAATTTAATATATTAATTTTGTATTCCTAAATGAATTTATTTTCAGAAATTGCTTAAGACAAAGCCTGGAACTTAATACACACTCAAATATTAAATGTGAACGATTATTATATTTATTCCATGTTGGACAATTTTGACTTTTGAAGACAACATTCTTGGTTGGGTGGAAAGATGCCTCACTGAGGGGTGAAGTTTATGGTGGTTTCGCATACAGCATTTCAAGTGTGTCCTGAAAGTCATGCGGTGTCAGGGCAGACGACTCAATGTGGAGTGGGAGATCCGGATGCTAATTCCTGCTCTGTCTCTTAAAAAGTCTCCTGAATTCAGGCAAGCCCAAATCCCTTTGATCTTGTTTTTTTCACCCTGTCACAAGGGGGACAGCATTGCTATCCCCTAGCTGACAGAGTTCTCGGAATTACAAAAAAAAAAAAAATTACATTCATGTGCAGCTCTCCAAATAAACAGTTGTAAGGTATAAACTACCTATTTTAGTTAAAGAGAAAGATTAGAATAAAAACCAAAGGACAAAGAAAGGTGAATCACAGTTAAGCTTCAAGCTTTTTTCTTTAAAAGAAAATCCTTTCCCTCAATATTATGTAGAAGTAAATCCTTTTCCCTATTCCTTTTGAGACTCTGATGTTTTTTAAAATTCTGACAGTTCATTTTCACTTCCTTTCATTCACAGATTTCATTAGGGGTCACAGTCCAGTGACCTTCAGGGTCACAGCCTGGCCAGGGTACACCCTCACTGCCTTATCTCTGTAAGCAGAGAAGCAGGAAGCAGAGCCTGGCTTTCCTGTTGCAGCTCGTTTTCATTCTGAAGCCTGTCTTGGCCCTTCCAGTGTGCTGCTCCTACCCTCTGCTCAACTCTTCTGAGACTATACTTGCAGAACCTGAGTCTGATAGCTCTTCAATCTGTTCTAAACAGAAGGGACAAAGTCTTTAATGTGGGACCAGTTACTCTTTTCTCAGGCATATACTCAAGTAAGCCTTCCTTGAGTCAGCACTCAGCAACTACATTTTTCATTATGGATTGAAGAATGTGTACGGAAAACTAGGTGAATACATAAAAAGTTCACAAATCTAAATAACTGTATTATTTTTATTTAAGTATCATTACATCAACTTCAGAGAATTATGAATAAAAGGCAAAAGTCCGATACTAAGAATGACAGAGTGACTGCTAGCTCACAAACTGGAATTGTCCCGACTTGAAAAGTTACAGTATTAGTCCACTTTTGTTTTAGGTGGTTTGCCTTGAATGGCTTGGTTTATGGCAGGGATTGTTAATTATTCCTTAGTAATTAAATTTTTGGCTCCAACGTTGTACAACTTGTTGAGAAATCAAAGTAGAGGATTATATCAGGTTTGCTTTTTTTTAAATTTGAGACAGGGTTTCACTTTGTTGCCCAGGCTGGAGGGCAGTGGCACGATCTTGACTTGTTGCAACCTCCACCTCCCTGGTTCAATTGATTCTTGTGCCTCAGATTCCCGAATAGCTGGTATTACAGACACAAACCACCACGCCCAGCTAATTTTTGTATTTTCAGTAGAGATGGGGTTTCGCTATGATGGCCAGGCTGTTCTCAAACTCCTGGCCTCATGTGATCTGCCCACCTCAGTCTTCCAAAGTGCTGGGATTACAGGCACTGCAGTGAGCCACTGCGCCTGGCTATGCTTGCATTTTTTTAATAGCTTAATTAGGCCGGGTGCGGTGGCTCAAGCCTATAATCCCAGCACTTTAGGAGGCTGAGGCGGGTGGATCACGAGGTCAAGAGATCAAGACCATTCTGGTCAACATGGTGAAACCCCGTCTCTACTAAAAATACAAAAAATTAGCTGGGCATGGTGGCGCGTGCCTATAATCATAGCTACTCAGGAGGCTGAGGCAGGAGAATTGCCTGAACCCAGGAGGCGGAGGTTGTGGTGAGCCGAGATCGCGCCATTGCACTCCAGCCTGGGTAACAAGAGCGAAACTCTGTCTCAAAAAAAAAAAAAAAAAAAAAAAAAAAAAAAAAAATGCCTTAAGTATATATTTGTTCCTTGGTAAGATATACCGCTCCCATTATGAATGTTAAAGCTTCTGAAAGTGGCCCCGAAATGTATATATTTGTGTTAAAACCGAACATCACATTCTGAGCAGATCTGCACTCATAAATGTCATCTTGCATAGAACCAGAAAAACTTTAAAGACTCCTGCAAATTCTAAAACTCTGAAGGATACTAAATCATAGAGGAAGTTACCTAGATAGTCTGACATTAGTTTGGGGTCTAATTTCTGTTTCTCCAAATCAGCAGGATCTGGTTAAATTGCTTTGTCCCTCTTCCCCCATACACTCCAGTCGCTACACGCTCACTGGGCGTGAGATTTCAGTCTCTATTACGCAGAGCCTGCTTACAGACCTGTTATCATTTGCTGTGCATCATACGGTTCCATGTAACCGTCGTTCTCTCCGACTCTCTCTGCATCCCTTTGACCCTTTGTCCGTTTGGCATCATAAGGGTCAGCATAGTCTTCTAAAATGATGACCTGTCAAAGAACAAGAGGGGACAGTTGCTAAGGACCACCATATACCAACATGGCAATGGTATCAAAATGGCTACTGACATCTCCTGCTTCTCCAAAGAGGTCAGAATCTCTAACCGGTTCCAGATAGCTTTCGCACTTGATCATGGGTCCCAGTTAGACAAACATCTGATTTTTTTGGTAGCATAGTTGGTTTGCAACAATTCACGTAAATTCTTTTTTTTTTTTTTTTTTTTTTTTTGAGATGGAATTTCGCTCTTGTTGCCCAGGCTGGAGTGCAATGGCGCGATTTCGGCTCACCACAACCTCCGCCTCCTGGGTTCAAGCAATTCTCCTGTCTCAGCCTCCCAAGTAGCTGGGATTACAGGCATGTGCCACCACGTCCGGCTAATTTTTTGCATTTTTAGTAGAGACGGGGTTTCACCATGTTGGCCAAGATGGTCTCCATCTCTTGACCTCGTGATCCACCCGCCTCGGCCTCCCAAAGTGCTGGGATTACAGGAGTGAGCCACCGCGTCCGGCCCCGTGTAAATTCCTTCACTTATCCCCAAGGCTCTTTTTACCTCGCTTTCTCTCCCCAAGAAGTAAAACATTTTCTGGGTTACAGGGTGACAGGGGTGAATGTTGGGAGTAAAGGGTATCTGTAGCTTTACAGCATAAAAGGTATGTGGCTTTACCACATACCCTATGAATTGAGTTTTTAAAACTCCAATCAGCTGAGCAGTACAGTCATAATGAGTCCGTCAGTCATCTATCAGCACTGGCTAGGCACTGTGAGGGAGTCAAAATAAACCTAAGACATGCTTCCTGCCTTCAAGGAGTGGATCACAGCTCCAAAGAGACAGGCTTCATAGATGAGAAGTAGGTCAGTGCTAACAGTATTGTAGGAGTTCTAGGTTCAATAATCACAGACAAACTGATCGTCACAGGCTACAGATCAGATAGGGTTTTGATCACTATGTGGGATCCCGTTTTGTGTCAGAAAGCATCTGTCTTTCCAAAAATAGAAGGTGCCTGAGGAGGTGGTTTGTGCGTCACGGGTGACAACTCCAGACGTTAGGTACCCTTCTCAGGCAGGAAGCTCCACAACCTCCGATTACATTCTCCGAAGAGTTTAAAAGTAACGCTGGAGTTGGTAAGAAGAATTCAGATAAATGAGGAGAAGCGAAGGGGAGGAAACAGCCTGGAAAAAGCCTCAGAAACCTCATACATCCAGAAGTGACAACCATAAACATGACCAGACAACCACAGCAAGGGGCTGTGACTGCCATTCACTTAATCCGTTTTTCTTGACTGCCCACCATGTGTACTGCAGCTGCAAGATACAGTGAGGAACCTAAGATGATACTCAGCCCTTGGTTTCAAGGTGCTTGTGGGCTAGGCACCCAGTCAGGTGGGCACTGACTATGAGCTGGGCCCCGTCCATCTTTACACTGCTCTCCACTCAGTGCCTGGCTCAGGGTGGGCATGCTGTTTTAGAGCATGAAAAAATGAATGGAGAAATGAACAGAAGTGCTCAATGCAGACATACATAGCATGTCTTACAGGCTCTTGACTTCATCCAGGGAGGCAGCATGTTTGAAGCCTGGGCAGGAGAAAATTAAAGCTCCCATGTTAGGAAGTGATTGCCTGGACCAGAGTCTGAAATCTCAGTCTGAGCTCTTCTCTTCCTTTCACATCGGAGAGAAGATAAAAACAAGCAAATGAAACAGACCAACTCATCTCAGTAAGAATAGAGGGCGTCCCTTCCTACGTTCACACTCCTTTTCCTAGCTTTTCCACATTGGACAGCACCCAGAAAACCTCCAGTGTGTCCGCGGCAGGAAACACCTTCTCTTCTCATCTGTAATTTCCTTGAGTGCGTTTCCTTGTCATATTCTGTATCCCCACAGCCCTTAATGCCCCGTGCCCCTTTTCCCATATGGCTGCTGCAAAACAAATGCCTATGGAATGAATGAAAGGGCAGTAGTCTTGGAGATTTGCTGAAGCTCCACGTAGCCTTTAACTAGGTAGAACTGCAGAGAATGGAGATTCCAAATCAGTGGAGACCGGGGTTGGCCAACCTGAAGCTTTGAAATGCATACTTACACAGTTTAGAGGCTACCATTTCTTATGCTCGAGAAGCATAAAAGTCATACATAAGTCCAATTTTGCAATTCCCCTGAATATCAAAATTAAAATAAAACACATCTATAAAGGGGTCAAATTTAACCAAACAGGAATATCTCATTCAACGACACTTCTAAACTGCTAACAAAATTCAATGGCTAGTACATTTCTGCAAAGCTCCCACCTCTGGAAGAATTTTTCGAGACTAAAAAAAGTCTAAGAATTGTAAATGGTCACTTAGGAGTCCCCAAACGGTGGAAGGAGAAAGGATCTTAGGAAACGTCACCCCCTCTTAGGTCTAAAAAAGCCGAGGGCTTAGCAGGTGCCCCGGGTTCCCCTCCCACTGACAGGGGGTCCAACGGAGGCTGTATGCTTACCGTGTCTTGCTGCTTAATAATCTTGCCCTTGTCCAGCTCGGGCCCCAGGGAGGAAGGGGAAGAGGACGCGGAGGAAGAGGAGCTGGAGCTGGAGCTGGAGCTGCTGCCGCTGCTGGGGTAGTTGCTTTTCCCGTTCTTCTCCTGCGTGTCCACCTTGATGAGCCTGTTGATGTAGGTGCTGCAGCCCGAGCTCTTGGTCGCACCCCGGTGGGGTTCCTCCTCCGTGGCCCGGGAGTTTTTGCGGCTCTTGCCCGCGGCGGCCTGAATCAGACCCTGCAGGCTGTCGCGGGACAGCCGGCTGTCCTTGGGGCCGACGCCGGCCCTGCCGCTCCCCAGCTCGGCCGCCGAGTTCTTGCGGCCCTTGCCGGGGCCCGGCCCCGCGCCGCCCGCCTCCGAGTTCTTGCGCAGTTTGCCGCCGCCGCCGCCCCCGGGCTTGGCCCGCTCCGACACGGTCTTCAGGTTCAGGGGGAACTCCTTGAACCACTTGGCCGCCATGAGGGGGCCCCGGCCGGCTCGGACCAGGAGCGTCGCGGCGGTGGAGCAGGCGAGCGAGGAGGCCCAGCCCAGACACGGAGAGGCGCCAGGGGTCGGGGGCCACTGCATTCCCCGTGACTCGGGCGCTGGAGGCCGCGGCGAGGCCCCGCGACGGCTGCTCCGCGCGCCCCCGGCCGGCCGTCGCCCACGCCCGGTAGGGTGGGGTCCTCGCGGCCCGGGGCGCCGAGCGGGCGGGCGCTGGCCTCCGCTCCGGACACGGCCGGCGACAGGCACGACGCGCAGGGGCCCCGCCCGGGCTCGTCTTCAGCGCCTGCACGGCCCGAGGACACCGTGGCTCTCGGAGGCGCCGGGGGATTCCCCCACTCTTTCCTCCCGCGGTGGGAGAGGTCAGGCCCACGGAAGCCCCCTGCAGTCCGGCCCCCGCTCCCAGGACTAGTGGGGACCGAGCGGAGGCGGCTGGAGCGTCCCCGGCGCCGCGACAGACGGTGGACGGACGGCGGGCGGCCCATCCCGCCGCCCCTCCCCTCCGCGGCTGGCACCTCCCAGCCCCGCCACCTCCCGCCCAGAGCCAGGGCCGGCTGGGTGGGCGTCGCGGCAGGGGCGGGTCCGGGGGCGGCGGCCGCACGTGCGGACCGGCCGCGCCCCCTGGGCGGAAAGCTCCCGACTGCTGCCCACTGCCCGCGTCCGCACCGACCTCGTCCCGGCCCGGCGCCGCCGTCCCACGCGCCCAGGAGTGCGCCACGTGCGCCGCCCGCCCCCCGGAAGCACGCCCCTCGGCCCGGACAGCGCCGGGCGCCCCTCGCCCACCCACTCCGTTCCGCTCTTTCTGCAAACGTTATTTTTGGTGGTGGGGCAGTGGTTGCCCGCTAGGAGTCGGACGCAGGGACAACGGTCACCCGCTCCTGCGCTCGTTCCGTTACTCTCAGGGGCACAGGGTCCGGGGCGCCGCAGGGACCAGGCGCGTCCCGCCGCGGCAGCCGGGGATTGGCTGCCGGCAAGCCCCGCCCCGCGCCCCGCCCATCGCCCCGCCCCGCGCCCGGCGGGCTCCCAGGAGGCGGAGCGCGGAGGGAGAAGGTGCGAAGGCCGGGCGTCGCGACCGCAGGTGGACGCGAGACGAGGTAGGACTCCCGGACCCAGGTCCCGGGCTGCTGAGCAAGGGTTGGGGACAGCGGCGTCGGCAGGCAGCGATGGAAGCTGCTCTCGTCCGGATAGAAATGGGGAAAGGGGGCGCTGTTTCCGCGGGGCCGTCGCTCGCTCGAGTCGGGTGGGAGCTGACCTCCCAGTCGGGATCCGTGCAGGTGGGGAGCGCAGTGTGCGGAACGGTGGCCGCTTTATGGGAAAGGACGCCTCTGTCATTCCCCCTTTCCTTTGAAGCTGTTTAAAAACTTTCTGAGGCTGTGCGCGGTGGCTCAGGGCGAAACTCCGTCTCTACTAAAAATACAAAAATTAGCCGGGCGTGGTGGCGCACGCCTGTAATCCCAGCTACCCGGGAGACTGAAGCAGGAGAGCTTGAACTCGCGAGGCAGAGGTTAAGGTGAGCCGAGATCGCCCCCCTGCGCTCCAGCCTGGGCGACGGAGTGAGACTCCGTCTCAAAAAAAACAAAACAACAACAACAAAAAAAACTTTCTGGTTTAAAAAACGAAATTTAAACTTAGTTTACTAAACGGAAATCTTTCAGTTTAGCAAACTAAATGTGCTGCAGGGGCCGACCAACACTGAGTCCTCATGTGGAAGTCATGGAAACGGAATGATCGCGCCGTGGACAGCTTCATTTATGTGGGTGGTGGTTTGTGAGGTGGGAAAGTGAAAGAAATGCGTGCTCATACTGACCATTCTTTAAAATGCGTGTTGACTTTTTTTTTAAAGAAAGCTTTATTGAGATATAATTCACACACCATAAAATTCACCTGTTTTAAGTGTACACCTCAAGTATTTTCAGTGTATTTGCTGTGTTTACAGTACAACCATCACAACAATCTAATTTTAGAACGTCTCCATCACCCTCAAAAGAAATCTCCCGTCAATTAGCAGTCACTCCTCATTCTCCTCTCCACCTCCCAATCCTAGACAAACACTAATTTACTTTCTGTCTTAACAGATTTGTCTATTCAGGACTTTTCAGAGAAGTGGAATCATGTAACATGTGGCCTTCTTTCCCTTAGCGTCATTTTTGAGATTCATCTAGGTTATATAGCATGTATAAGTACTTCATTCCTTTTATATTACCAAATAATATTCCGTTGTATAGATATACCACACTTCATCAATTCATCAGTTGGTAAATATCTGGATTATTCTCACTTTTTGGCTATTAGAAGCAACACTAATATGAATATTTGGAAAAGTCTTTGTGTGAATATGTATTTGAATTTATTTTGAATAGTTACCCAGGAGTGGACTTGCTGGGTCATTTGGTAATTCTCTGTTTAGTTTTTTGAGAACCTGACAAACTTTCCAAAGTGGCTGCACCATTTTACATTCCCACCAGCAATATGAGGGTTCCTGTTTCTTCATGTCTTGATAGAGTCTTTTTACTTGTAGCCACCGTGATTGATACAAAGTTTATCATTGTGGTTTTGATTTACATTTTCCTAATGGCTAAAGATGCAGATTATTCATGTGCTTATTGGCTGTGGGTATGTCTCTAGAGAAATGTCTAGCAGATCCTTTGCTTGTTTTTTAATCGGTTTATTTGTTGTCTTTGTGGGTGAGTTGTAGGAGTTCTTTATGGATTCTTTAGGTCTTTTTAAAAACACAAAGGCTGGCTAACATGGTGAAACCCTGTCTCTACTAAAAACAAATTAACCAGATGTGGAGGCACGTGTCTGTAGTCCCAGCTATCTGGGAGGCTGAGGGGAGAATCACTTGAACCTGGGAGGCAGAGGTTGCAGTGAGCAGAGATCACACCATTGCACGCCATCCTGGGTGAAAGAGTAAGACCTTGTCTCAACAATAACAACAACAACAAAAATAACACAAATAGGATACTTCTCCAGATCAAACAATAGAAGGAAATTCAGGACTTTGGAATCGTATCATTTGGATTCAAAACAAAAACAGACTTCTCCCATTTGTGAGTATAGATACTAAGTGATCTTGGCCAAATACTAAGTTATCATCTGTGCACCTCCAGAACTTCATCTGTAAAATGGGTTAACAATGTCTCCCTCTTGGAGTTTGAGTGAGGATTAAATGAGAATGTGTATTAGCTGCTTAGCATAGTACCTGGCAGGCCCTTAAAGGCATCTTGGACAGACTTATGCTGGCCCTTGGCTTGGGAGGTCTCAGTGCCTGTTCTATTCCAGAAGCCCATAGGCTTTTCCAGGAATTACCCGGAACTGGGACTAACATCCTAGATCTCTGATTTTGCCCATAAACCTCTCCATTTTTATCCATTCATACCTAAGTCTTTTAATTATCTGAACTACTTTTAGTTCTATTTAGAATTGGTTGCAGCTAAAATTGTTGTTCCCTCCTACAGCTGGGCATAATTTAGTGAAAGAGTTAGTACTGTTTTATTTTAAAATTTACTGTTTTAATTTATGTTTTCCCTAAAGTAAAGGGGAAAAAAATCCCTTTAAAATGTCTTTAATAGCTTTGTTATCTATAGAAAGAGGACCAAAGCTTTAGAATCACAGGACTGAGTTATCTCAGTATCTTTTATAATTTTATAAAATCACCTGATATCCTTGAGCTTCGTTTTCTCATCTGTAAATGGGGAGATAATACTCATGGAGTTGTAGGAAAGTGCCAATAAAAGCCATAAAAATAAACACAGTGGCTGGGTGTGGTGGCTCATGCCTGTGATCCTAGCACTTTGGGAGGCCAGCTCACCTGAGGTCAGGAGTTTGAGACCAACCTGGCCAATGTGGTGAAACCCCATCTCTACTAAAAACACAAAAAATTAGCAAGGCATGGTGGTGGGTGCCTATAATGCCATCTACTCAGGAAGCTGAGGCAGGAGAGTCACTTGAACCCAGGAGGCGGTGGTTGCAATGAGCCAAGATTGCTCTACTGCACTCCAGCCTGAACAACAAGAGTGAAACTTCATCTAAGAAAACAAAACAAACAAAAAAATACCACAATGGCTATCATTTATTGAGTTCTTGACGCATGATAAGTGCTTTAAGTGCATTATCTCACTTCACTGCCATGATCTATGACATGGGTGTTTTGATTCTGACTGGACAGATGAAATTTGCCCAGGGTCTCTGGGGCGGACTCACAAATGCATCTAACTCCAAAAGTACTGTTCTTTCCACAGGCCAGCCACTGTGCAGAGCTGTGTGTGGTTTGCGTATGCTATCTGTATTCGTTTTCTACTTGCTTTCATAACAAAAGGCGAAAACCTCAGTGGCTTAAACAACACAAATATGTTATCCCACAGCTCTGTAAATCACAAGTTTGACACACATATTGGGCTAAAATCAAGGTTTCAGTAGGGTTGTGTTCCTTCTGGAGGCTTTAATTGGAGAATCCATTTTCCTGACTTTTGCAGCTTCTAGAGGCTGCCAGCATTCCTTGGCTTGTGGCCCCTTCCTCCATCTTCAAAGCCAACAACAGTAGTTGAGTCCTTCTCATATCACATCACTCTAACTTTGCTTCTACTATCACATCTCCCTCTCTCTCTCTCTCTCTCTCTGTCTCTCTCTTTTTTTTTTTTTTTTTTTGAGGTGTTGTCTCATTCTGTCGCCCAGGCTGGAGTGCAGTGGCCCAGTCTCGGCTCATTGCAACCTCCGCCTCCCGAGTTCAATCGATTCTCCTGCCTCAGCCTCCTGAGTAACTGGGATTACAGGTGCCTGTCACCATGCCCAGCTAATTTTTGTATTTTTAGTAGAAAAGGGGTTTGGCCAAGTTGGCCAGGCTGGTCTCAAATGCCTGACCTCTGGTGATCCACCCACCTTGGTCTCCCAAAGTGTTGGGATTATAGACGTGAGTCACCGTGCTGGGCCTGTTTCGTCAGTTTATGGACAACCTTAACTCCATCTGCAACCTTGCCATGAAACCTAATATATTTATAGGTTCTATAAATATATAGAATCTATATATTTATAGAATATAAAGGGATTAGGATATGCACCACTTTCGAGGGGCATTATTCTGCTTACCATATTACCTATTTAGTGATTATATAGTGGTGGATTATCCTGGCATTCCTCTAACTGTGGCCCTTTGGCTTTGCAGGAAATCCTGTTGGAAAGCAACCGCAGCATGTAAGTCCCTTCCCTTTGCTCATAAGCAAGGCTCACTCCATCCCCTAGCCTTCTCTTTCTCCCATTCCTGCCTCAGTGTGCCCAGGGCTTAGGAGTCACCCTAGCATCTCTTGCTGGTCAATCCTAACCCTAAGTATACTTTAACTGTTAGTGATTTAAAAGGTCCAGTGGCAGGTTTCTTGGCTTGGAGCCTGGTTCTGGGAGGAGGAAAGGAAGCCCTTGGTCAGGAAGAGGAATGGAGGTTTATGCAAGGCCCCTCTGCTTATGCCTGGCACGTGTTTCCTTTTGTCGGAATCTGAGCTTGGGAGGTTCGATGCTGACACCTGTTTTTGACAGGTCCTGGAACAGCAGTGACTCTGAACCCTCTGCTAAACTGGTTGGGAAGAATGG